CAATGCAACTCTCCAAACGTCCATAACAATATACAACCCCGATTGTTGGTAGAGGACTTCCTAGATCAATTAGCAGCTTACGAGGTCAACCAATGCACAAGACACCTCCTAACTTCTTCAACAAGAACTCTAGGCCCGAGTCGGAATCATGCCAAGTAGTGATCGGAGGACAAATGATTCGTGGAAAAAGCGACTCTCAAAAACAAAAAATCATGGACTCAACTTTATAGGTGCTATTTTTTTTCTTTGAAGATGGTTGGAACCCCCCTTTCTTTGTTTTCTTTCATTTTCTTGTTTGTTTATTTTTCTTTTCTTACAAGTATTCCAACCTGTTGTTTTCAAAAAACGGGGCTCCCATCTAGCAAAGTTTGAGGAAGCTCGGCAAACCGTGAACTGCAGTAAAAACACGACATCTCTGAAAAACTTTGACTCAACCTACTCCACCGTGCCTTCTATCAATCACGACACAACTCAAAACGCACAATCACAAAAACCTGGCAGGGGAATACCACTTGACCACTTGAACTCTTCACTTGATACAAAAATGAAAATAAGGGAAAGAGAAAACAAACCTCCGTTGTGTTGCCTCCCAAAAAGTGCTAAGTTATCGTCATTAGCTTGACGGTTGTGGATGTATCACGTCTTGGAACGTGATGCCACCGAGAGTGGATCCTCCACGATCTCTGGGTGAGGCATGTAGCCTCCCAACTTAAGCTCCATGAGATGGCCTTCTTGGCCGATCACTTTTGCTTTTCCCTTTTCCTTCCTCCGGGCATTAACGTGGCTCATCCTTCCCCTCCAAGCTCTCTTTCTTTCTTCCTTGGCTGAGATGCCTTCCTTACTTTCCTCTTCACATCACCACAAGGAACAACAGTAATAGTGGGGTTTACCTTGAAAATTTCTCATATACTTGCATTCATATCATCCGACTCCACTTTCTTCACTTCCTCACTTCTAGGCTTAGGTTCAATTCCAAAAGTAATACTCTCCTCACCGTCCCTCATTTACATCAATTAAGGCCTTGGTGGTGCAAAAGAAAGGTCGTCCTAGTATGAGTGGCATATCAGAATGCCACGGTTTGAGAGTGTAAGGCTCCCTTTGGTCTCTCGGTGAGGATCCCGACAAGATTGCCGATTTTGACATCCAAATTCTAGAGGCTTGCTTGATGACTTCGAAGTCCTACCTCAAGCGAGGTAAACTTGGAGGTTGCCACATCCATGAATTTCTCAATCTTCTCAAACTTCTGAGAGCTTGTACTCACAAAGGTGGTAACTAGATCTTCATGTTTGGAAAACTTGTCGACTTGTTGTTGTTGGAACCCTTGACCACCTTGTGCTTGGTATGGTTTTTGGAAGTTCGAGTAAGGCCTTTGTTGGATGAAAATTGGCCGAGGTTTATAGTTGCCCGTTGGACATTGGAAACCAGGAGTTCTTGGATTGGTAGGGGAAGACCAAGCTAATTTGGGATGATTGCGCCATCCGGGGTTGTAGGTGTTTCTATAAGGGTTGTTCCCTCTAGCGACTAGCATTGGCAATGAAACTCACTTGCTCCTCGGGGGTACTTGTTTCCTTCATCACTTGGCAATCCGCAATTTCATGATTAGTGCTTGAACACCAATCACAAGACATCACCGTTGTGTTTCCTTGCTTCTTGTCCTCAAGGATCACCTCGATCAACTTGTCAAGCTTCGCTTCAAGTGGAGCACTTGCCACCACACTTCGCACTCCTCTTTCGGTGCTTCTCTAACCACTCCTCGTCAAGCCCCAATCATATCCTTTAAGATCCATGTCTTCAAGCAACTCGGTCACTTGAGGTGGGATCATATTCATCAATCTCCCTTGGCAAAGAGAGTCGATAAGGATCTTGTCATCATGCATGAGACCACTATAGAAAGTCTCTATCCGAAATTGCTCCTCGAATCCATGGCGAGGGCATTGGAGAAAGTAGTCGGAGAATCTTTCCTATGCATCCCTCAATGTCTCATCTTCCTTTTGCTCAAAGTGAGTAATCTTCTTCCTCCACTCAGCCGTCTTGGAAGAAGGAAAATATCGGGTCATTAACTTGTTGAGCAAATCATCCCACGATGTAATTGAGTGAGCCAGACGGTTGTTGAGCCATCGCAGCAGCTCTTGCTTGTTTTTTATTCTCCCCCATCTCAAATTCAATTTCCACTTTAACTCCTCTAACTCCGTGACCAACTTGTTGTCCCCTCTCTTCACTTCTCCTTCTTGCTTCTGCTAACTCCCTCTCCCTCTCCCGAGCTAGGAGTCGGAGAGTCCGGTTGATGTTCTCATCTAGTTGTGCTAAAGGCGTCGGATTGCTCCAGGTCATGCACCTCCCTGCACACACTTAAAGAACAACACCATGTCTAGCACAACCCGAATATCACAATAAAATCCCACCTATGGCCCAAGTATAAACCGTAAATGGGTGCAATATAGGACAAGTATGTTTAAATATCAACCCGGGCCGGTCCATGAATTGCGGGATTGTTTGAAACATTATCTAGCGGATTGTTGTTTGTTAAAATCTCTACGACCTACTATTGAAAAACAAGACTTGAAAAGTAAAAAGGGTGGAAAACTCTTGGTGAGAAGCTTCACTCGGGTGTTGCTTTCCCCTAACCAACTACCATTAATTGCGGGATCGAATGAAACAGAGTGTGACGAGGAAATTGTGACCCGTAGGAGGTGCAATAATGGTTAGAACCATTCTCCCAATTTCTAGGCCAAGGTAGGTGTCAAAAGCTACAATTGTAGCCCTCTTGGCCCAAGCAATTGAGGGTTAACTTACCTTCTCCCTCAAACCAAGGTTTGGATGATTTAATCACAATTAACCCAGGTGTGTAATTCAAAATTAGAGGTTTTCCCTTAATTAACCTAGTTATGAGGCATGAAATGCCCAAGAAAACCCATCTCTAATTGAGCCTCTTAAGTTAAGGGGGCATCTCTCTAAACTAGTTTAGGAGGCATGGAATGCCTAAGAAAACACAGCTCAAATTGAGCCTCTTAAGATAAGGTGGCTTCTCTCTAAACTAGCTCAGGAGGCATTAAATGCCCAAGAGCACCTAGCTCAATTTGAGCCTCTTAACATAAGGGGGCTTCTCTCTAAGTTAGGTCAAAATATCACAATAGATTGTCAAGCACACACAATACACAAGCACCATGAAAAATACCACAATTCTTAAATTAAACACCTCCATCACACAATCAATCCACACAATCAATTACATGGTAGTAGTTAGGGTTCTACAACACCCAAGTGAAAAAGGAAAATACTCCATGTTAGATAAAGGAGGAACACAAAGGAAGAAGAAAGAAAACATCATTGTGATGCCTCCAACCCTCCTTGTGTTTGTAAAGATCCTCCTTGGGAGAGGAACTTCCAAAATCTTCACTTGGAGCAAACCCTAGCCTCTTCTCCCACTTGGTTCGTGCTTTCTCTCTCTAGAGTTTCAAGAAGAAAAAGGTTTCTCTCACTTTGGGCTGCTCCTTATTCTTCCTTTTAGCTCTCCTTTTATACACAGATCGAGCCTAGTTCACGGTACAAGTTTACGACAGTGAACATCAGGCCCGAACCGTGACTTCGATCAAAACACGCAGCTTCACTATTCACGATCAATGGCTCCAGTTCACGGTCTTAGCGAACATGAACTCCCTTGGTGTTAGTAACCTCTGAAACCTCTCTAGACGCTTCGCGGTTCACGGTTTGTGGTTCCAGTTTACGGTCCTGGCGACCGTGAACTCCAATGCTGGACCGTGAACTCTTGCTGAATCCTCCTCTTTGCCCAGTCTTTGCTTCTTTTCTTCCAACTTTCGGCCCCGGGGTTGGTTTCACCTGTTAGACTCTGAAACACTTTAAAACACAAGAAATCTAGTGTATAACCACCCTTTTAGGAGCTCAAATGCCACAAATGTCGAAGGGAAACGAGGATATAAAGTGTACATTTAGGCCCGAATCACTATTCTATCTCAATCTCATGAAATAATGCGTGTATTTGATAGTACCAACTATTGACAAATTCAGTACGGTATTCAGTATATCTCAAATACTGGTACCTAATTCCAGTCCTACTCTTGAACCCGTCCACCACGACTCCATTTCTTGCTTTTTTTTTTGTTTTTGATCTTTTCCACTTCAATACTAATAGATCATGGTTGCCATCCTGGTGACATGCCGGTTGGTTGAACATGTTTCAATTAGTGCCGGTCATGAAACAAACATGAACACCAACGGTATGGCCGACATGACAGATTTAAAACCTCTAAATAAAATGATGTTTAGTGAATTTAATTAATAGAACAATAATATTTTATCTATTTTATGAATTTAAAAGTTAAATGTTGATATTATTTGTTGAATTCGAGTATAAACGTTTATGAATTGACGTTTAATATTGTATTTAAACATGATTATTTATTATTTTATTTGAAATGTATAATTTTATTTAAATATTAATATGGATTGTAAGCAAATTGTCTTTAAATATATTTTAAGTATAATTAAATATATTTTATATTAATGATTTTTCAAAGAATTCCTCCAAATTAGTGCTCCTAGCTGAGTTTTTAACATTTTAGCTTCTCTTAGTCTCAAAGTTCCAAACTTTATGCTCTTTGATTGCCCATTGGGCGTTTGATCTGCTTTCTTGATACGATGGAGATAAGAGGAGTAAGAAGCTCGTAGTAGTTTCCATGGTTTCTCTGCATTGAGAATTGAGATTCAGAGCTAGGTAGGAAGATCCCTTTCATAGTTTCAGGTTTAGGTATTTGTTAAACGATCGGCTGCTTGTATTGTTAGATTCCTGAAGTTTTAGATGGCATTTCATGCTTGTTATACTTGATTTGGGGCAAAATGTAGTGAAAATTCCTTTATAGATGTGGCTGAAGTTCCACTTATTACAAATGTATAGCCAGAGCACACCAAATTAGAAGGTCTCAATTGCTCTAACCGAGAAGGGTTTGTTGCCACAAAAAAAATCAAATCACAGTGAACAATACCTAACCCTCTTTGCCCTGTTCATAGAAAGAAGCAAACTTCACATTAATGTTGCCGATTCCCTTAGTTTGCAGGTGGTAATGGAACTGAAGTATCTGCAGCTGGTTGTGGAGTTGAAGTCTCTCCAATGCCAGCGACTGTAGGTGGTGGTAATGGAACTGAAGTATCTGCAGCTGGTTGTGGAGTTGAAGTCTCTCCAATGCCAGCGACTGTAGGTGGTGAGGATACGGCAGGTTGCACTTCCTCAGGTGCCTCCCTGCGGTGAAATGACAGAGTGTTCGAATAGAACCAGAGAAAATCCCAATCATCAGTAGTCTCTCCCTCATCTTCTTGCTGTGGTGCTCCCTGTCGAGGTGAAAGGCAGCAAATCGAACTGACGATAAGTGCCAAATTAAGGAGGACTGTCCATTCCCCTCCATTCAAACTAGGAAAAGCTTGAACTGTTGGACAATCGGAAATGACAATGAAATAACTGACACCGGATTTACGTGGTATCCCTGGATGATCCAGGACTAATCCACGGAAGAGCTCTGAACACTCTTCTAGCTACTGATATTATTGATTGTGTATTTGTTACCTTCTCCTTACATCATTCGGCTGCTCATATACAAGAGAAAAACCCAACCCTAGCCGAACCCTAGGATCACCATCTACAGCCAACGTGGTGTCCATGCATAGGTTACATGGGCTAACGTAAATGGGCAACATCATTGGGCCTAATAACTACAAACAAATAGCCACTAACCCAACAATAATTAACCCATGAAATAATACCCGCTAACAGCCTCCCCCAAATTGATGCTGGTCACAAAGCATCAATTTGCTCGAGAGATACCAATGACGACTGGGGGAGAACGCCTTTGTGAAAACATCAGCAATCTGATCTTCCGTGCGGACATAGTGAAGAGTAATGGTACCATCCCCAACAAGATCGCGTATGTAGTGGACATGAATTTCGATGTGCTTGGTGCGATCATGCAGGACGGGATTGACTGCAATCCGGATAGCACTGGTGTTATCCACAAATAGATCCATAGGAAGAGGGCAGCGGACACCCAGATCACGGAGGAGACGACGTAACCAAACAAGTTCAGAAGCTACATCAGACATGGCCCTGTATACAGCCTCGGTGGACGACTTGGAGACCTTGTCTTGCTTCTTACAACGCCAGGAGATAAAGGCAGACCCAAACTGAACAGCCCATCCAGTGGTAGAACGGCGAGTATCGACACAGCCAGCAAAGTCGGAGTCGGAGTAAGCACGAAGAGCCAATGCACCGGAGGAAGGAAAAAACATGCCGACATCACGAGTGCCCTGAATATATCGAAGGATACGATGAACGGCTGCTAAATGATCAGTACAGGGAGATGCCATGAATTGACTCACAACTTGCACAGGATAAGAAATGTCTGGGCGGGTAGCAGCAAGGTATATCAGACTCCCAACAATACTCCGATAAGCAGTAGCATCTGGAAGAGGAGTACCAGAAGAACGACTGAGATGAAGATTAGGCTCCATCGGTGTAGAAACAGGCTTGCAGTCATGAAACTGATGATCAGACAGCAAATCGGATATGTATTTACGCTGACTCAAGAGAATCCCTTTGGCATTACGAGTAACCTCAAGACCAAGGAAGTAAGAGAGATCTCCAAGGTCTTTTAGATTAAATGCCGCACTAAGACCATCCTTCAAACTCTGAATACCAGCAGGATCAGACCCAGTGATAACCATATCATCAACATAAAGCAGCAAAGCAACCAGACCAGAGGAGGTTTTCTTGGTGAAGAGAGAAGGATCATTCAAACTCTGCTGATAACCAAGATCAGTGATAGTAGCTTGAAATTTCTCGAACCAGGCACGGGGTGCCTGTTTAAGACCATATAAAGACCGATTAAGACGACAAACCTGATCAGCCGTACCAAGAGTATACCCAGGAGGACGTTCCATATAAATGACCTCATCCAAATCACCGTGAAGGAAAGCATTCTTCACGTCCAATTGATACAGGGGCCAATGTTGTAGAGAAGCAACAGCCAATAAAGTGCGAACAGTAGACATCTTGGCCACCGGAGCAAATGTTTCACTGTAATCAATCCCCATTTCCTGTGTAAATCCCTGAGCAACCAGACGAGCCTTATGACGTTCAATCGTACCATCAGGATTCATTTTTATTGTGTATACCCAACGACAGCCAACAACAGAGGTAGAAGGAGGAGGACGCGGAACCAGGGTCCAAGTATTGTTGGCATGTAAGGCATCCAATTCCTTCTTCATCGCATAATCCCAAACCGGATCTCCTTGAGCTTGCTTGTAGCGAGTTGGAACAAGAAAAGCATCCACCCCATGAGCAACATAATCATTAAATTTAGGTGGGGGAATACCTCTCGTGGATCTAGTGGAATGACGAGGTAAAGGAGCTGGTGATGGGGACGAGCCATGGGATGTAGTCGATGCAGCAGAGGATGAACCGGATGACGAAGTAGAGGCCGACGAAGATGGGGACGCAGAATCATGGGAGCTGGACGTGAGATGTGGGTGCGGAGGTGATGTAGAGGCAGTAGAAGCGGAGGATGTGCCGTCCGGGGAAGACAAATCAGAGTCAGGAGCGTCGGGGGGAGTTGGTGGAAGGAAATCAACACCATCAATATCATCATGACTGAAACCAGGTAAGGACAAGGTAGAAGGGAAAAAACTAGGCGAGGAAGAAGCATCGGTGTAGTACATGATATTTTCAAAGAAAACAACGGTTGTAGCAATGCGCATACGCTGAGAATGAGGATCAAAACACAAATAGCCTTTATTCACATCACTATACCCAAGAAAGACACACCTAGCAGTTTTAGAAGACAGTTTAGTACGCTCTCGCCGAGGAAGAAGAACAAAGCAAAGCGAGCCAAAAACACGAAGACTAGTATAGTCAGGATGTTTTGAGTACAAGGCAAAGTATGGACTGGTGTTTTGCAAAACTGGGGTAACTTGATAATTGATAAGACGGACCGCGGTAGCTACTGCTTCAGGCCAAAACCGACTAGGGACATTCGAGGCAAGAAGAAGAGCACGAGTAAGATCTAATACATGACGATTTTTGCGCTCAACCAGACCATTTTGTTGAGAGACACCGGGACAAGATTTCTGAGTCAGAATGCCGAGAGAACGATACACCTCATACAAGGGAGAAGAACTAAATTCCCCACCAGGATCAGAACGCACTATTTTCACTGGTCGATCAAATTGAGTATGTATCATTTTTAGAAATTCAGTAGCTACCGATCGAAGTTCTGATTTTTGACGCAGAAAATACACCCAAGTAAAACGAGTAGCATGATCAATAAACAAGGCAAAATAACGAAAACCATGTCGAGAAAGAACAGATGAAGGTCCCCACAGATCAGTATGAATAACATGAAAAGGTTGATCAATCACAGTGGTACTAGAAGGAAATGACCGACTACTGGTTTTTGCTTCGACACAGCTCGTGCAAGAATGTTTCGCAGAGGTACAAGCATTATTTTTACCAAGCAAAGACTGTCTAAACATCACAGCCAAACGACTCGAATGAGGATGTCCTAAACAATTGTGCCAAAGATCCCAAACATCACTAGACTGACTCGAAAAACATGTAGGAAAAGACGCAGGACTACTGACAGACCTATCACGATGATTACTGATAGATGATGATGATGAAGATTTTCCAAGTTCTTCTAAGTGAAAAATCCTCCCCCGTTTACTCCCTCTGCCGATCTGCCTCCCCGTCTTCAAGTCCTGGATAACACAACCGGACGGTGCAAACAAAACAGAACAGCCAGCTTCGGTAAGTTGTCCCACAGAAACTAAGTTAGGAACAAGTTGTGGGACATGGAGAGTATGTGGTAAATCAAGGTGAGAATCATGCATCATACCCATACCCCTAACTTGCAACTGATTTCCATTTGCTACCCGCAAAGACAAATCATTAATCGGCAGCACATTCGTTAAACAACGAGAATTACGCGTCATATGGTTGAAACAGCCGGAATCAAGAATCCAAGGAGACGGCTTACCTGAGTTTCCATGAAGGGTTGCAAACGCAGCATTGATGGCCGTTGGTAAAGACCTCTGGAGTGCAGCGTTCACCATTTGCTCAATATCTTGGGCGGACAGACCACTGCTGCCGCCATTGCTGCTTGCTTCGGCCATATACGCGGCGCGCTGAGGACGGTCCATGGCAAGGGCTGCTTGGCGATCATAGGGCCGAGAAGAAGAACTCGAAAAGGAGCCTGGGGCAGGAGCAGGACGCTGGGAAGGAGCACTCGTCATTCCTCCTTGGGCACGCGCTTCATGGCGCTGCCGAGTTCGACAGTCCAAGACGATGTGACCGGTTCTTTTGCAATAAACGCAAAAGTTCCATCCGCGGCAGTGTTTCTTCAGGTGACCACGTTCGTGGCAATGGTGACACTCCAGTTCAGCGATCGGAGTGCGGCGCTGAAATTGAAGGCGATCGGCAGCATAGGCGGTGGATTGAGAGGCCGAGAAAACTGCCTCCCCTGCTCCCGGTCGCACATCAAGCTGGGCTTGAGTTCGTAGCCGAGTCTCCTCACGAACCAAAACTCCCAGCATCCCATCAAATTGCAACTCAGCCTGATTTAGTAACGTTGTGCGCACAGCTTCATACTCAGGCCGCAATCTCATCAAGAACTGAAACAGCCGAGTTTGTTGCCTCTCAGCGAGGGCATCCGCGGTGACAGCTTGAGGACGAATCGTGGCTTGAATGATGTCATGTTCAGTCCACAGTTCCTGGGCTGAGTTGAAGTATTCGGTGATGGACAGATCACCTTGCTCAAGGCGCGCCAACGCAGTCTGCAGCTCGAACTGCCGGGCAACGTTCACGGTAGAATACGTAGCTTTCAGGCGCTGCATCATTTGATGCGCAGTGGCAAACGGACGAAGACTCAAACAGGTGGAGGGATCGACTGATCCGAGCAGCCAGTGACGAACACGAGCATCTCGTTGATTCCATTGTTCGATCTCAGACGCGGGAAGGGTTGGACGCGGCTGCGGGACAGTCCCGTCGAGAATACCCAGCAAACCATGACCTTCCACGAACACTCGGAATTGAAACTCCCATAAAGCGAAATTGGTTGATGTCAGACGGACAGAAGGACGATCGGAATTCAGTGGCGGAAGCTCTGATACCATGTTGGACAATCGGAAATGACAATGAAATAACTGACACCGGATTTACGTGGTATCCCTGAATAATCCAGGACTAATCAACAGAACCTCCCTAAGCTACCTCACCTTCAGAGCTCAACCTCCATGCACAACTGTTGCTTCAATCTCCACCCTCCTGGGATCTAGCCCGTCTCAGCTGGTCGCAATCAACTCTGTCCCTCAAACAGCAAGCTTCGATACAAACCAGCTAGTTCTTGTTCCTGTTACTTGCTCGTGTTCAGGTCAGTACTACCAGGCAAACACATCTTATGTTGTTCAGCCTGGAGAAAGCTTTTTCCTTATCGCTATCGATACTCTACAAGGACTCTCTACTTGCCAAGATATTAGAAATGGAACTAGGGGAACAACAGTCAATATATTTCCCGGTCAAAGACTCAATGTTCCTCTTAGATGTGCTTGCCTACGAGGAACCAAACTGGCCAAGGGATCAATTTTATCTTGAGTTATTCAGTCACTTGGGGGGATATGGTTTCAATGGCGAGTTCGAGATTTGATAGTGATACTGGCTGGACTCTTCAGGCCAATGGACTTACTGAGCAGAGTGCCACAATCTTCCCATTCACTACTCTTCTGATCCAAATGCAAAACCCGCCTTCCAGTATCGAAACTGTGTCTCCACCGCCACCTCCAGCTTCCCCTCCTCCCCCACCGGTTGAGCCATCTACACCTGGATCCAGCTCCAGCAAGACGTGGGTCCATGTCGTGGCTGGTGTTGTTGGAGGGATCGTTGCTACTTTGACTGTTGTTGGGACTGTGGTTTATTGTCTGTGGTTTCGAAGGAGGAAGGCGAAGTTGGAGCCAGCCGGTACTACTTCCGAGAGCTTCGAGGCTGTGGAGAAGAAGTCTATGAAAAATAAGGGAGAGGAAGAAGAGCCTGAAGGTTTCTTCTTGGAGAAGTTATCTATTATTGCCCACTCCATTCAAGTTTACACATTTGAGGAGGTGATGGTTGTCACTGATAATTTCAGCCCCAAATGTTTGATCAAAGGGTCTGTTTATCGAGGCAAGATTAATGGTGATCTTGCTGCTATCAAGAAAATGGATGGGGATGTGACGAAGGAGATGATCATCCAGCAACGGTGGAAAGACATTGACTTGGACTCAAAGAATCCAGATTTCTGTGGATGTAGCTTTGGGACTCGACTATTTACACAGTTTCACAAGTCCTCCACAGGTTCTCAGGATATAAAAGCCGGGATGTGCTTCTCGTTGGTGATTTTAGGGGCAGGATAGCAAACTTGGCACATGCCAGATCAGCCGAAGGCCAGGATGGGGACTTCAACATTACAAAGCACATTTTCGGGACAATAGGTTACATGGCTCCCGAGTATTTGGAGAATGGTCTGGTTTCTACAAAGATTGATGTTTTTGCATTTGGAGTTCTTCTTCTGGAGATGATACTGGGAAAGAAGTTGCTTCCTTGTATAAGGAGGAAATTGATGGTTTGTCTGGTGTTGTGAATGAAGTTCTTCTTTCTCAAGATGAAGGAGGGGAGCGTCCAGCTATCTGCGAGCTCGTGCAATCTCTTTCAAGAATCTTGACGGCTTCACGTTCATGGGAGTTGTCGAACAACATCTCAGAGTACTCGAAATGCAGAGTTCTTTTAACCTTAGAAATATTTATACAGAAAATTTTCGTCCTTTATAAATATGTGGTTTAATAGCTCGATTTCATCTTGAGAAGTTTACTTCATTTCTTTCTGCAGAAGCACACATGTTTCTGAGTTTGGGTGTCCTAGATTTTTGTGAACTGTTCATTTCTCAGCTACAGAATTTGATTATTTTTTGTTGAAATGGTCAACTGGGGATATTCATATTCCATTCCCAAGTCTTTTTCAGTGATTCATGAGATAGTTCTCAGAGCGACTCCCTACCTATTTACTCTGAAGTCATCCTGTAAAGGCTACCAATTCCGCAAAATGAAGATGATTGTATTGGTTTCCTCTTTTCAAGGAAGTAGGGCCAGCACTTAGCTGGAGAACAATTGTTATTACTATTATTATTGGGTAGCAGGACTTTTGAGCTGCTAATGTTTTTTCTTCTTTTCAACAGCTTGAGAAGATAACGTTCCGCGCAAGAAAACAACTTTATCAAGTCTATGACCCGCAAAATAAGGTTTGAAGCAGCAGCAAGCTTTCTTCCTGGAAATTTTCTCATTCTTCCCTCTTCCCTCTTCCCCAACTTCAGCAGGTAAACGTTCATATCTTTGATTCACTGTCTGCCATGGAATTGTCTTCTTAGATTATCGAAGTCTCAGAAATGGCTCTTGACGAATCAGCATTCCTGTCATGATACGTCTTCCTGCCTCTGATCTTTGTCCTTTCCTTTAACCATTATTATTTGCTGTAATTTTCTTAAGAAATACATGTCCCTCTTATATTCTTTCAGCATTTCCCTTCCCGTATATAATAATGGTTCAAGACTTCAAATGGGGCATATACCAGAAGCTGCTGAATTCTCAGTGGCTAATTCTTGCCTTTCGTATTTTTATCCGTAATCTTATAATGATTCAGATTTCCGTTTTCCAAAAAATCGTTCTTAATGTGGCAGAATTCAGGCAATGCAAGAAATGAGGTTCTTTCACCTTGGAAGTAAGCAATCCACTACGAAGAAACTTTGTTTTCTATAATTTGTGATTCAAAGAAAGGATTTTCTATGACAAATATCGAGAGAAGTTTAATTCTATCTGCAGAAGAATCTTTGTGTTTCGTTGGTTTTGTCTAGTTTACTTAATTTATTTAGCTGCAACTTGATTTCTTATGTCACTCTGATGCAATAAAATTAGTTGGTTTGGTTTTGCCCCTACCGAAAGTTGTGATGTCATCATCCCGTCTAAACTGAACGACAATTCATTTTTCCCTCACTTCTAACGAGGGGTATCACGGGGTAAGACTTCCAGAGTGGAGTCCAAGTTAGAAGTGTGTCAAAGAATCCAAGTGCCAGTTGACTTACTTAGTGGACTGGGGTTAGGGGTGGACAAACGGTTCGGTAAACTCGAACCAAACCGAAACCGAATTAAACCGAACCAAAACTGAATTAATGCTATTCGGTTCGGAATTCGGAAGGAAAATATGGATAGTTCGGAAATCAGGGTTCTTTCAACTGAACCAAATTTTGCGACCGAAAAACCGAAATACTATAATTGCAAGCTCCAAATGGTGGTTTTTATGTTTGTAGGTTTTTTTAGACTTAAATATTTGAAATGTTTTATGACTTATGTGTTGAAAAGTTTGGTTTTATCATTGATGATGCATATAATTGATATTTATTGTTTATATTAGAGGTGAAAAACCGACCGAACTATAATTTGGTTCGAATTCGCTTTGAGGTTTGGGAGAATTCGGGGACCCGATGTTCATAATTTCGGTTCGGTCGCCGAACCGACCGAACTATAATTTGGTTCGAATTCGCTTTGAGGTTTGGGAGAATTCGGGGACCCGATGTTCATAATTTTGGTTCGGTCGAAACCGAACCTACCGAATGTCCACCCCTAACTGGGGCGATGGAGCTGCTAGCATCGGCAAGAGATTCAATGCTATCATACAAATGGGTTTGGAGAATTCGAAGATCCAACTATTTATCCTTTCGCAGTATTTCTCATCCACTGCAATTTGAGCCTAATAGCTCTCAGACGATAATTCTCTCTCCGCCACCTATTAATTCTCAAGTTGTTCCGAGTCAGTCGTTCAATGGGAAGAAATCGAGGAAATTGAGAGGCAGAAATACTGATTGGATGGTACTCGGAGTTTCCCCGACAGTCCTGTATTCGAACCTAGCAGGGGCAATCATCTCACTGTCAAGAAAGAATGAGTATGTTGAAGCTCAAAAGAAGAAGAAACTGGTGTTGCCTGAAGATTTCTTTGATCGCACTCCACAGTTGAACAAGGGCTGAGAATCTAGGATTTTGAGGAGCTAAATCTGGCGACTAGTGATTTCAGTTCTCGGGTTGAGCGAACAAGTCTACAAGGGCATGATAAATGGACAGAAGTAGCAATCAAGAAGAAGAGTAGAAATGTTTCAAGCGAAGTGAACCTGCTGAGAAAAATCGACCATTTCAATCTCGCAAGTCTCGCTGGTGCATATCAACAGCAGGATGAATACTATCTTGTGTACAAGTACATGGAGAATGACTCCTTGAAGGATTGGCTTCAGAAGAAGGGCAGCGGTTGAAATGAAGCTCGGAGTTGGACCGTAGGCTTCAGATTGCTTTGGATATTGCTAATGGAATTCGCTATCTCCAGTCTCCACAAATTCACTGAACCCACCATATGTCTACAAAGATACGGGCTGAGAATACGGGCTAATGGAATTCCTTATCGGGTTCGGTTAAAGCAAAACCGAAACCCGAAAACCCGAACGCCTAAGAATACGGGCTGAGTTCTATTTATTGGAGGTTTTTAGCCGGAACCCGAAAAACCGATAAGCAAAATCGAACCCAAAAAACAGATAAGCAAAACCGAACCTGAAATAAAAAAACCCGAAACCCAAAATGAACCCGAACCCGAAAAACCGAAAATATATATAATCGGGTCGGTTTCGGGTAAACCCGAATGGACACCCCTAGATACAATTCGATGTGTATAGATCCAAATTCATGTACCATAATAGTTCATAGTTTTCAGTTGAAGAAGGAATAACAGAGCTTGTCAACTTTTTCTTTTTCCTCGCCATACAACTTTTGCAAGGTAATTAATACACGGAAAAGCTTTCTATCAACGGTTAACGAGCAGTAACTGAACTGATTATCTGCAAAAGTTCTTCTGCTTCGAGCTTAGTAGACCACGTCTGATGCTATCTGCACCCTTCTACTCCAATTAAGGAACGATAAAGATCCTGAAGATGATGATGAGGACGCTCAGTGGCGGATCCAGAAATTTTACGTAGGGGTGTCCTCTTTAAAAAATTAAATTAAATTAAATATTAGAATTAAATTAAATAATTATTTAATTTGAAAATATCTAACTCTTAAAAGTTCAGACGTGTTTCGTAAAATGATAAAATGCATTCGGTGTTAATACTGCTCAACAAATATCTCTCGACATATCCTACTATACAAGGGTATCCTGTAATTGAGTTTAATCGTTAGGTTTTGAAAATAATTTGAGATAAGAATAACAATTTACAATTATATTTGGATCTAAAACACAATAACAAATAAGTTGTAGCGTCATTGAAAATATATTAACTAATAGTGGCAGTGTCCCAAGTTTGAACCACATAAACTACTACTTAAATATTATTTGTACTAATACGCAAACTACTACGAGAGGTTGGATAATCATTTTCACAAAATTTAAAGGTGTCCCACTACCACTTAAACATTTTTTTCTCATACGCAAACTACTATCATAGGTTGAATAATTGTGTTTCCAAATTTTAGGGGTGTCCCGGGACACCCCTGAACATGCATGTATCCGCCACTGAGGACGCTGGAGGTTTTCTGAACAGCCACTTGTCTAGCGAACCATTCTCTGCATATTCATAGGCCAACAAGAAGTTTCCTTCTTGATCGCATTAAACTCCCATCAGCTTCACCAGATTTGCATGGTTGACTTTCTGCAGAATCTGCAGCTCTACAGTCGCTTCCCCTTTGAACGTCTTCACAGCTAACACCTGGCCATCAATGGTGGCTCTATAAACTGAACCTCCAATCTTGTAACAGTCATGAAGATCCATTATAATTTCCAAGATCGTATTAACATCCTAAATGGTTTGCTTGTTTAGACACCCTGAAACTCCTGGAAGGTAATCAACCTTCTTCTGCTTGAGTTTCTTGGCTTGTTGCATCATCAGCTCATCAGTTTCTAGATTCGAGTTCTTGTGCACCAGGAGGAACTTCTTGTTGCTGCTGCATCGACAAAAGACAACCGAATGTTTTCATGCAATTTTGGATGAGGTCATTACTGACATTCAGAGTGCACCACCTCTATCTAGGTTTTGTCTTTGGTTGTCGACGCAGCAGTATGCTGAAATTTTTTAAGTATGTCTGATATGCTGCGGTATGCTGAAAATTTTAAAGTATCACAGCTGGTTGGATATGAAGTTTTCACAAAAGACAACCGAAATCAGCCAACTGATGATTAATTAAATCGTTGACGGGTTATCAAAGTTGATGACAACTTGACAAGCCAGCCTATCATTTGATCACCCGTCTTTTACACGGTCTTCCAACTGCAAGGTGAACAGACAGACAGGAAGAGTGAGAAAAAGAGTGACTGTTATATCTACAGTATGATCATTACCCGCGGTTACGCCGCGTGAACTAAAGTTGCAGCAGAATAACCATTTCGACGGAAGCTTAGGAGACAACAAATTTGCAGCAACATAAAATTCGAGTTTTACAATCTCCAAGTTCAACCTTGGATTCTCCACCTTTTCATTGTTGTTGGGCCCTCCTTGGTTGAAAATGGAGGCACCAAAAGTCCCCTTTGTTGAAAATGGCCGCCGGCCATTGTGGAAAAAATGGAGGAGGATCCATTTTTCGGTGGAAAAGAAAGAAAAAAAAAAGGGGGGAAGTTGAGCAGGTTCTCCTCCCATTTGCCTATAAAAGGCAGAGGCAGTAGCCTCATTTCGATCATCCCAACATTCCATACTTCTCCAATTCATTTGCTCTGCTTCTGTTCGTATTTCTTTTGTGGGTTTTGATAGTGAAACGTTTTCACT